TCCCAGGTCTGGATGGCTCTGACCTTCCACTGTCAGTTTCTCACCTGGTAACATGTCTAAACTAGACTCCTAATGGCAGGAGATAAGCATGACCCTTTATAGCGGAAATGCAAAATAGTGGAGAAGTTTACTGAAAAGCTACTTTTCCTTTTGTGGTCCTGGGGTATCCTGTCATGCATATTTAGAACAAAAATGAGAACTGGAGAAAGGGATCATTATATCATAAGGAGATGTGTATTTTCAGCCTCTTTTTTTAAAAAATATAATTGACATATAACATTGTATTAGTTTAAAGTGTACAACATAATGTTTTATATATATTACAAAATGATACCCATAGTAAATCTAGTTAACATCTATCACCACACATAGTTAACATTTTTCTTGAGATGAGAACTTTTAAGATCTACTCTCTTAGCAATTTTCAAATATACAATAAAGTATTGTTGACTGTAGTCACCATGCTAGACATTACATCCCAATACTTATAACTGGATGTTTGTACCTTTTGACCCCTCTCACCCATTTCTCCTACTCCATACTTTCTGCTTCTGACAACCACCAATCTGTTCTCTGTATTTATGAGTTCAGTTTCTTTTTAGATTCCACATATGGCCCTGGCCGGTTTGGCTCAGCGGTTGGAGAGTCGGCCTGCGGTACAGAGATTCCACATATGAGTGAAATCAGACTGCATTTTTTTTCTCTGTCTGACTTATCTTACTTAGCATAATGCCCTTGAAATTCATTCATGTTGTCACAAATGGCAGGATTTCCTTCTTTTTCATGGCTGAATAATATTCCATTGTGTAGGCATATGCACCACATCTTTATCCAGTCATCTCTCAATGGACACTAAATGTTGTTTCCATGTCTTGGGTACTTTAAATAATGCTACAATGAACATGGGGGTTCTGATATCCTTTTGAGATAGTGATTTCATTTTCCAGAAGTATAATTACTAAAGCATATGGTAGTTCAAATTTTAATTTTTTGAGGAAACATTGTACTGTTTTTCATAGTGGCTGCATCTCTTTATATTCCCACCAGCAGGTCCCTTTTCTCCATGTCCATGGTTGATCAGCACAATAATCATTACTATTCTTTTTATTTAGTTGTGGTTTAAAAAAAAAGCCACATAACATGAAATCTACCCTCTTAACAGAACTTGAAGTGCACTGTACAATATTGTTAACGATGTGCTAATGACCACTCTTAATGATCCTGAGGTATTTCAGCCAGTCTCTGTTGACTTTTGAGTTTTCAAAGAGGAATTTAATTTTATATAAAGTATATACATATTTTAAAGTAAATATGTATATACTTTATTAAGTAAAATTTATTAAGCAAAATATGTATATATGTATTTTATATATGTATATGTATACATATATAATAGCTATGTATACATATATGTGTATTTAAAATTAGTATTAGTCTAAGCCAGACTTAAAAATCAGCTTAAAGTAACATATTCTGACTGGTGGTCAAAATGAAAAGAAAAATAAATAAATATACACCTACATCAAAATTTTATCATTATAAATTACTTTGTATAACAAAGCAAATGAATAGAAGAAAAATTTTTTAATGGAACTAGAGAGGCAAGCAGTTTGAGTGAGTGTGGACTTTGGGCTACATGTTTAGTACCTAGAATCACCAATAGGATTGCCTTTTCCCAAGGTGCGCAGGCAGCTGCTTGGGAAAGGGTCACCCTGCGCGCTCTTCTCCTGGCCAGGGTCAAAACAGAGGTGAGCCCTGGCCAGTTTGGCTCAGCGGTTAGAGCGTCGGCCCGCGGACCAGAGAGTCCTGGGTTCGGTTCCTGCTAAGAGCACGTACTTTGGTTGCAGTTTGTCCCCGACCCTGGTTGGGGTCGTGTGGGTGGCAACCACTCAATGTGTCTCTCTCACATTGATGTCTCTCTCTCTCTCTTCCTCCCTCTCTCCTTCTCGCTCTATCTCAAGATAAATGCAAAAATGTTCTCGAGGGAAGATTAAAAAGACAAAAGTGGAGATGAGTTTGCAGATCCAGGAACCTAAAGGCAAACACTGGAGGAGGAGCAGGAAACAAAAGATTGAAATCACTGAAGAGAAACTTCCCCACTTCGTGATAAGAATCAAATAGCTTCTTGCCTTATTTATTAAAGGGAATGTCTGGAGAAAGGGAGTGTTTTTAATTTAATCAATTAAGAGAACCTTCTCAGAGATGTTTTAGACCTCATAATTTCAAATTGTGACACTATGCTAAGCCCTTATGATCCAACCCCAAAATGTGTCCTTTTTGCCCAGAGCACAGCTGCTGTTAGACTTCCGGTAGAGCCAACATTATTATCTCAAGTCAACCCAGTCATGTCTGATAGATATACTATGATAGACCCGTGCATATAACGATCTATGCAAATACTTACGTAAAACACACAGTTAAGTATTTCATACTTACTAGTTCCTTTAATTGCATTTTTTAGTAACTTCATGGAGCCATTTCTTTTTCATGTACAAGGATTTCTTGATCCCTTTAGCAGGATACACCTGTCTAGAGAAACTTGCTCATTTGTCATAATTAATCTTCATCAAAAAGCCTGTTGGAAAGTCAAACAGGAAAAGGGATTATTTTTGACAAACACACAGAGTAGGTATAAGACATAAAAGAAGTACACCAGCTCTCAGGTAAAAGTGAGCTACCTTGAAGGAGAAAACATATTTAGTATTAAAATACTACAACCAAACAACATGCATCCTCTGTTCCATCACCAGATAATTAGGCCAGAAAGATCCGAATATACTGCTCTTTTGTTGTGAGGTCCTGCTGTGACCTGCAAAGCTCGCTCTGCATTATCTAAGGAAAAAAGTCAGAAAGTATCAGGGCTTCTTAATGAGTCCTTGTTCATAGTTTTTCACGTCATGTGCATCCATGAGAATAACATGGGACAGAGTGCTGGGGATGGGGTCAGGGTAAGGGGCCTCCCTGATTCTCCAAGTGCTGTTTCCTGTCGCTCATTCCACAAGGAGGAGCAAGAACTCATTAGGGGTGCGGCTGAGAGCCAGGGGACCCCGCGAAAGCCGGTGTTGTTCACAGAGCCTGGTGCTCTTTGAGAATGTGACTGTGCTTTCCAGAGAGTACTGCATCTTTCTTATGAAAAAATGATGTATCGTAAAAGGTTTCTCGGAAAAAATAAAATAAAATTTTTATAAAAAGATTTCTCATGTGCCTCACTCATAACTACTTATAACCCTGGAAATGTTTTGATGTTGGACATTAGTTGAGCATGGTTGGATATGTAATGAAAATAAAATTTGCTTTCCTTATACTAATACTATGAAATAGCTACTATAAATAGTGTTTTACATTAAGAATATACTACATTTAAAAAGTAGATGATGGCCCTGGCCGATTTGGCTCGGTTGGTTGGGTCACCAAAAGGCGACAGGTTTGATTCCGGGCAAGGCACGGAGCCGGGTGGCGGGTTTGATCCCCAGTTGGAGAGGAGCAGGAGGCAACCGATCAATGTTTCTCTCTCACTTCTCTCTTTCTCTCCCCCTCAAAAACAAAATCAATAAAACTTTTAAAATAAAATAAAAAGCAGATTATATGATATATTTCTAGTTGCGTGCTTAAAATATTCCTGCACAGAGGGTAGGAAAAAACACAGGGCATATACCAAACTGTTTATTCTAGAAAGGGGGGTTTTTGAGTATACTTCTCTCTTTCGTTTTGCTTTTCTATAGTTTTCAAGTTTTTAACACAGGGAAGCGTTTAAGATTGGTCCCCAGGAGCCTTGCTGATCGAAGAGCTCACGCTCTGTTGGGTCTGTGTGAAAAGTCCAGCTGTGCTGTCTACTGTGGTAGGCATAGTCTCAAGTGGATATTTATGATTGTATTTAAATTAATTAAAAGCAATCTAACTTATTAACAATTTAATTCTTCAGTCACACTCACTACATTTCAAGTTCACCATCACAAGACGTTCTATCTGATGGTCCTGGTGGAGATAAGTCACCAGACTATGCCCTGGATACTGAGAACGAAAGTGGGCTACTTTCAGGGGCAGAAGACTGGACATATGCCTCTCACAGTAGATGCTGAGACACTCCTCAACACCAGTCCCTTTTATACACTTCTATAGTCTGTGGCCCATTAGGTCCGAGATTTGTCCCATAGCCATTTAACTCATTAGTGACAGCAAGGACAGGAGCCCAGGGCTACCAACTCCTAATGCATAGCTTTGCCTCCAAATCACTATTACCATCTCCTCCAGAAAACTAAAGCTTCCCAAGCAACACTTCAGTTCACTATAATGTCATAGACATTTTTCAAGAATTGACGGTGTGATAGGAACTATAATAAGCCTTGAATATACAAAACTAAGTAAGATAAGTTTCCCTACCCCCAAGGGTGTCAAAGTGCTAACACAGAAGGGCATGCTAGGTAGAGTGACCAAACAAAGTGGAGACGGATCTGTGCTCAGGAAATTCAGAAATGCTTCACACACATAGATATGTTTGAGTTGAGTCTTGACTTTTGTGCATACAAATTCACAAATTAGCATTTCTCCAATATTCTCAGTTTTCCCCCAACTCCAGAAGAGGTTAGACTCCACCTTTGAAACGCAGTGGATCCCTGACCTGATATTGTTTTCTTGTTGGTTAGGTTGGGTTTTGTTGTTTGTTTGTTTTATGTTGTATAGTTACATACATATTCAATTCTCTCGCTCTCTTTTTTTATTTACTTATTTTCATTTTTGTTTATTTTCTTACTCTCTTAACTTGAACTTATAGTCTCATTTTCAGACCTGCTCCTATATATGTAAAATAATTTTCAATCTTCAAATGAAATAAAACACTTCTTTAAGATTTAGTCATTCATTCCATTTTAGACCATATAAAAGCAAATAAAAATATAAATGAATGCATATTTTTTAACCAGTTGTGTTGGGAATGTTTAAACACAGGTTCAGAACCTGGAGCTCTTTGTTCTCAAGTAAATCCTGCTCCTGTATTTTAACAGATGCAATGCTCTTGGTGGCGGAGCGACTGGAAGGACCCTTCAACATTGAGTCGGTCATGGATCCTATAGATGTCAAGATCTCTGAGGCCATTATGAACATGCAAGAAAACAGCATGCAGGTGTCTGCAAAGGTATGTGCATTAGTCATGTGTCTACTAATAAGGAAAGTGCAATCATCTAAAAATGAAGTAACTAGATATGTCGGCTGGGATTATAAATTCTAATACATTGTCAGTGAGCTTTTCCTGTCAAGCTACAAATTTGCTACTTCATTAAAACTGTCTAACAAAATGGCATTGAGAAAGGAAGCAATCTTTTAGTTCGCAACTACTCAATCATGAAGAAATTATTGGCTGCTAAAAAGTTTCAGAGAGACTCAAGTATATTGACTAATCCCTCACATTTGTGAGCAATTTGGGGGGAATTTTTTTTTTTTTTTAATGTTTGAAATTTGTGCACACTCTTACCCTGTTCTCTCTCGAGGAACTTCTAATTATATCTTCAGCTGTGCAAACCAGGCAAAGGTTCTGTATGTTCAATTGTAAATAATTAAACATTCCATCTGACTTCCTTTTTTAAGACTATGGTGTAACCTTCATTAATGTATCTTCAGGGAAAAATGCTCCTTTGTCTGAAGTCAAGCACACAGGAAAAGAAAAAAAAGTAGTGCATTTTCATAAATCATAGGAGACAGAGCTTTTGGGTCTGCAGCTGCAGAACACAAATACCAGGTGCACGATTTTTATTTGTCCCCACCCACTTGAAGATAAACAGGACCTACCTTAAGCAAAATTGAGGAGTTTGCAGTGGGTCCCCAGCCTTTTCCTTCATCACCCACATTGATGACTGCATAATGCCCTTCTGTCCTTTTTACCAGTCCCCTTGTCCTGAAACACTAACCAAATCGATACCAGTCTTTTAAACCTGGTGACTGACTGACTGATTGCATTTTAAGGGAAAGTCATTCACACAAATGTATGTCAGGGGCAAGGAGTTGTGCTTAGTCTCCTGTGGTTTTAAAATCTTTTGTGAAAATGATTTCAAATGTAACCGAGGAGGAGGGGATGGGAAGGGGTGGGGAGAGCAGAACGAGGGCCATGGAATCCAATTAGGTCTCTTGGCCGAGTATGAATCAAACTTGGTTTGGGCTTTTCAGGGTGAACTAGTGGAATGAGTCTAGGAAGGAACCTGGCCTGGGAGATGGATGGGCTGAGAGTTTCACTGGCCTTGTTCTGGATTTTAATGAGCTTGGGATACCCTGTGTAAAGGAGGATGCTCCAAATTGCCCTCACCTTTGGTGTTTCCATGAAAAGCTATTTTCTTTCTTTCCTGAGGCGGGAAAAATAGCAGCTATCTATTCCTCCCAAATCTATTGCCTGGAAACCAATGAATGTTGCTGTAAGAGGCCAGACGTCCCGGCAGTGCTCGAGTAACCAGGCGCTGAGGTGTCTGATGTTCACAACGGCTCTAGAGAAAGGGCATGAAAACCCGTGGACAAAACTGTCTGACTGAGAGCCCCCACACTTCTTAGAAGTGGAGGTTTCCATTATCGTGTGCGGACACATGTTCAAGTCAGGTTACACTGTTAAAAATTCTCTAAGAGGGTAGATAGACTCTGTTACCAGAACAGGGATGAGATAGTTTTATGGAATTCATCCAACTATATTTGAATAGTATAGCTGTTCATAGAACTGTACTTTATTTTTATTATTGACACTATTGCGGATGTCCCCCATTTTCCCTCCCTTTACCCACTTCCACCTACCTCTTTCCTCCGTCCCTCTGACCATCACCACACTGTCGTCTGCGTCCACGGGCTATGCATGTATGCCCTTTGACTAATCTCTCCTCCTTTTTCCATCCAGTCCCCCTCTCCCTCCTCCCCTCGGACAGCTGTCAGTCTGTTCCATGTATCCATGCCTCTGGTTCTATTTGGTTAGGGATGCATTTATTTGTAAGAATAGTCGAAACCAAGAGTAAAAATAACACAGGACCCGTAAGAGTATAACACAGGATCCTCGCGTGAGAGGATACAGTGTGTAGGGTCATAAAATAGTACAAAAAAGTCAAATGAGCTAGAAACATTTTTAAAAGTGTATCAAGTAGTCTTGACACAGAGAAAGGGGATGGAGTGAGTTAAAGAACTGAGAGAGAGGAGACAGCTCTGCAGGAAAGAGGGGTGTGACAGGAGGCAGGGTCTAATCTGGAACAGGGTCTGGAGGGAGGACCACACCAGCCTTTGTTATAGTGGAGAGGTACAGGGTGTCTGGAATTTGGCCACATTTACCAGGAAACACCCACAGGATTTGCTGATGGGATGGGTATGCTCTGAAAGAGGTCTTATTTCTTCAAGAAAACAGAATTCGGAACGATGTAGTTCTGTCTTCTGTAGAAGCCACATCCATAAAATTATATGTGTGCGAAAGTCTAAAATCTACATTCCTGCTAAGAACTGGATGGTTGAATTTTTCCTTTTTCAAAGGAACCCTCTGTCCCTGTTGATAAATAATCTGTTCACATTTGAAGTTCTAGATTTCCAGACTTCCACCAGATTTGCATAAGCAGAGACTTTGTTACCTTCTAATAGGTGAGCTTCGCGTGAGACCAGAAACTATTTTCTGATTGCGGGCCAGACATCCTGAGAGGTGTAAACCTTACAAATGAAAAAGAGTTTTTACTCCGGGATGTTATTGACAACTTCTCCTTGGAAAATCATTCGCCTTATTACAGCAGTTGCGGAGAGAAGTCTCTCCCAGAGTTCCTTTCAGAAAAGCAGCAGTGTCTGTAACTGCTGCCTCATACCTGTTGAGTGCTCACTGCCAGGGACCGCGCTGGGCTTTACATGGTTTATCCATGGACTAGAACAATGCTTGCGATGGGGTAGATCCCCCCCTTACTTTCCAGATAAACTAACCAAGGCTCAGAAAAGTTAAGGAATTTACAAAGATTCCATGGTGCATGAAAAGTACACAGAAGAGTGTCTGACCGCAGAACTCCCATCGCTGGTCACTGTATCCTAGGGATGTGGGGTACACAGCCAGTCTCACACTAGGGCAGGGTCCGGGAATATTTCCTGACTAGATCAAGTATTAAGAGAAAGTTCGTGAAGAAGGTAAGGAAACAGAGGTGTGAAAGCCAGGACTCAAGCTGTCTGTCTTTCCGTCTGATCCCCTTTACAACTTTACCTAGCACATCCCACCATGCTAGATGCTGGTGCAACAGGTCTCTTATATAGACCTGCATTCATCACTTCCCATCTTTTCTAGAGTTTAATCGTACAATATGTAAAAATGTACTTTTTTCTCCCTTCTTCTATCTGAAGGCAAAAAGACGAACACCCCATAGTTTTAGGTATGAAATCCTCTTCCTCTAGTGCGGTGATTCTCATCACCTCTATCGCTAGTGGGAAAGAGCTCATCTTTTGAACTTCATCACTGAGATCATAAATTAGCGATATTTACAAACTAAAAAAGATCCATTGCCACTATGTAGGTCCATGTTCTGCTTTTGTCTTAGATCTGTTTTGATAAGTATTGCCTCTCCTACTTAGCTCACAGCTGAGCTCTTGGAGGCAAGGCACACTGACATTCCTTTTGAAAAATACATTGGCCAACCAATCTTTATACTATGTTAGTAATAACATTATGGCACTCATTTCAAACTTTTGATTTGTATATCTTTTGTACAATAGTATATTATGTATGGTGAATATAATATAACAATAAAATATATACCATACTTGTTTAAAGACTGGGGAGAATAGCATGTTAAAACTTTTGTTGGTTTTTTAGATAAATAATTACCTAGTTACTATGATAATCATCATGCCTACCATTAATCGAGCACCTACTCTATTCACTCAACAAATACTCTACCATTTAGCAGGCATGGGCCATACAGTAGAGGACAAAACAGATTCTCTGCTTTTGTCCATCTCTTTTTAGATGACTTACATATTTATTTCAAATCCTCACTGCAGTCTTGTAAAACATTCATTTCCTGGTTTTACAGGTAAAGAATACTAAATTTAGAGAGATTTAGTAGCTTGTCTGAGGTGTTGAAACTAACAAGTGGCCAATCCGGGATTGCAACCCAGAACTGTCTGATCCAAAGAAATAGATTTTCCCAGTCTGCCACTGTTTCCCCGGTAGTGTCTTCCCACCGGGACCAGATGTATTTCAGCCATGGAAGGACCAGCCATCTAAGTAGCGCTGTTGCCTGAAACATACCACAAGGAACCTACTGATAAGAAGCACAAACTGCTAGTTCTTCAAGCCCCAGCTAAGCCTATTACATTCACCAACTTCACGATCTTCATCAAAGACAGGAAAACACCCTCATTATTCCACCACCTCTTTTACACACCCAAATCAAAGAACTTTTCAGGTTTTCAGAAAGTTCCCAAGAGAATGGAAGAAAAAAACCTTTGAATCTCTGTGAATTTCAAATGTGTTGATAATCTCCTTATTCTATCAGGGAAGATGAAACTAATCTCACTCAATATAATTTAACTATATTAGGAGTAATTTCAAAGCTAATCCATGAAAAGATTGGTTTGTCAGATATAATCTAAATTAAGAAGGAAGACTTACTAAATTCCAATTGAAACCATCCATTCAATTCATACTTATTACAGACGAGGGTAGAACCCATTAGAGGAGAGAGCAGGATGACCTTCAGGTACTTAATTTTCTCCAGACAATTCTTTCTGAATCTACGGCTCAAATAAAGATGAAAAAAAAAAAAAAAAAAGCCTAAGAGAACAGAAAAAGAATATAATAATTTCTTCTGCTAGCTGACAGGTCTTAGTTTCCTCATCTGTAGAATAAGGGTTTGCTTGAAATGTCCCCTTTCTAGTTCTAACAGTTTACATTATTAACATTATCTTTTCATTAATGATGAGGTTTTTTTCCGAGCATCCTGATATATTTCTTTTCTCTGTATCTTTTTTCTTTTAATATATTCAAGTATAAATAATATCATGGGAATTAACATGGAAAAAAATATCTTCTTTTAGCTATGAGGACATTGTTTAGAATTTAGTTCAAATAAATATGTTTATTGCAGTAACATGTGTTTTTCCTTTATTTGAACCCCTGTATTCCATGTGTTCTTAAGTAGTAAACATTAT